CAGAAAGCACGCCTTCTTCTCCGACTTCCACAACTTCCACCGCCACTACTACGAGTAGTAGCATTTCGAATAAATTTTGTTCCATGGAAAACATGAACAGGATGATCTACATCAGCATAAGAAAATCCAAAAGCTCGTCCCCGCTCAAAGCACATTACTAAATCATTGTTTGCACCAGATAAATTTTCAGCAAAAGAAGCTTTGAGAATTGCTAAACCAAGTTGTTGCTTTTTCTCAAAACTTGACATTTGGGCAGTCAACGCACCAGAAGTTCGATGTGAAGAATTTTTGGTTGAATATGGTTGACGACCATGCATAATTTGTTGTAGCGATATGCCAGCAGAATTTGTAAATTTCATTACTGGTGTAGGAACAAACCTTAACCATTTGAAATTATTCGCCACAGTTGTGCTAACCCAGGGACATACAAGAAATATGGTACCCTGTAGTTTATGAGGAATTTTGATAGCACAAGCGAGAGCGTATGGAGCACCAGCACTATGTGCCATTATAAAAAATTTTGGTATATCAAGTATATCACAAAGTTCATTTATAACATCTATAATATAAATAAATACAAATGAATAAATGAATAAATATGGTTAGTATTTATTTAGATCTACAGTTTTACAAAATGATCTAAAATTTATTACCTGGCCATTTTAATACTTCTTGATCATCAGACTTTACATCATCCGAGAGTCCAATACCAGGACGATCAGGACATATCAATCGCAAACCGTAACTTGTTGCCAAATCATCAAAAAAGGCAATAAAATACCTAACACAACCCATACCCAGGAATACAAACACTGGAAAACCAGTTCTATCACCAACTTCAGAAAAGCTAACTACCCTTCCCGAACTTAATCTCACACGCTGTGTTAGACGTGGTGCAGCAAGGAACGCAGTGATATCCAAATGATTGTCATCAATATCGGACGATAAAGAAGTGGTTGAGGAGGAACGTATTGTTGGAGTAGTTGCTTTACTCGATGCTTGCGGAGAAGATTCACATGATGAAGAAGGCTCAGATACCATATCAGTAGTTATGGTGAGAGTAGGAGTATGGCTAGGTGGTGAGTCGTCAGTGATTAAAGGTAATTTTTTTTTGGAAAAAAGAGAGGCAGCAGAAACTCTAGCAGGGTTTGAACGCAAAGCAGTTGTAGACGCAGGCCTTTTTATAGTAGTTTTTTCTTTTGGAGGTTGAGTGGCCTTACTCGCAGTCAAAGAGATTGGGCGCTGTGACGGCTGTTCTGAAGGTGATACACTTAGCTTTGTAGTATCTGCTTTTTTCCGCTGCGATAAAGAAAATTTCTTTTTTGAACTAGACACTCTTTGTTTTAAAGAAACTTGCGGTTTTGATTTTGAAGATATTGACAGAGCACTAAATTTATTCGAAATGCTACTACTCGTAGTAGTGGCGGTGGAAGTTGTGGAAGTCGGAGAAGAAGGCGTGCTTTCTG